AAAAGTCTCAAGGCAAAGGATCACCTAACCGACTTGGCGGAAACATTCACCAACCTAAGAGCACACCACATGAGATTGAACCCAACCAAGTGTGTCTTCGGTGTTGAATCCGGTAAATTCCTAAGATTCATGGTCTCCAGGAGGAGGATCGAAGTCAACCCCGAGAAAATCAAGGCAATAGAAGAGATGAAGCCCCCGAAGTCAATTAAGGATGTGCAGCGCCTAGCTGGGAGAATTGGAGCTCTACACAGGTTTGTGTTGAAGTCCGCAGAAAAATGTTTGCCCTTCTTCAAAATCCTAAGATCCATGGCCCATAAAGACGACGCAGGGAAACCTAAGAAGTTCCAATGGACCTCAGAGTGCCAAACCGCCTTCAATGACCTTAAGTCATAACTCGGCTCACCACCTCTGTTAACCAAGGCTGAAGAAGGCGAAATCCTTTACCTCTACCTCAGAATTTTCAATGCAGCAGTAAGCTCGGTCTTAGTCAGAGAGGCAGGCAAATAGCAGAAGCCGGTATACTATGCCAGCAAGATTCTACAAGGAGCCGAGCTGCGGTATTCCATTGCAGAAAAAGCAGCTCTAGCAGTAGTCACCATAGCATGGAAATTAAGACCCTACTTCCAGGCTCACCCCATTGTGGTATTAACCGACCAACCCTTACGACAGATCTTGTAGAAGCCGGAATGTTCGGGCAGACTTATCAAATGGGCAGTGGAGTTGGGGGAATTTCAGATAACATTTCAACAGAGGTCATCAATTCGAGCTCAAGCCTTGGTAGACTTTGTTGTCGAATGCACCTCGGCCTCCGAAACTGTCGCTTTTGAAGCCGAGCAATGGACCCTCTATGTGGATGGGTCCTCGAGCAGTAGAGGGTCAAGGGCCAGAGCGGTGTTGATGGGGTCAAGAAGATTCCGAAGTGAGCATGCCCTGAAATTTAATTTCGAAGCAACAAATAATATGGCCGAATATGAGGCACTTCTTCTCGGACTTCGCTTAGCAGCTGAATTGAAGGTTAGATCTCTGCAAGTTTACAGTGACTCACAACTCATAGTCAACCAAGTCAACTCTACATGCAAGGTCACAGATCCCACCCTTGCCAAGTGCTTAGCTGTGGTTCTGAAGCTCCAAAGCCAATTTGAAAGATTTCAACTCACCAAAATCTCGAGGTCCGAAAATGGCCATGTTGATTTGCTATCAAAGTTAGCTTCCAATAGCTCAAGTGGACTGAGGTCAGTTTTTGTTGAAGTCCTAGACAAACCAAGCTTCCAGAGGTCGTAGGTGATGGAGATCAGTACCGACCCCGAAGCCCCCAGCTGGACCGTTCCCATTAAAGCTTATCTTCAGGATGGGACTGTCCTAACTAACAAGCAAGAGGAAATGAAGTTGCGAAGAAAGGCATCTCGGTACATCTTGGTGGATGGTACCCTGTATAATAGGTCATACTTGCTCCCCCTTCTTCGTTGTTTAACTCCTTATGAGGCCGAGTACGCACTTCGTGAAGTGCATGAGGGTGTATGTGGGAGTCATGTCGGAGCTCTGGCCCTGGCTCACAAAGTCCTTCGGCAACGATACTACTGGCCACACATGCAAGAAGATGACAAAAAGCATGTCCAAAAATGCCCAAAGTGCCAGTTCTTTGCACATCTCACCCACCAACTCGCAGAGGAACTCACCACCTTAGTGGCACTATGGCCCTTTGCACAATGGGGCATTGACCTCCTAGGTCCTTTTGTGAAGGGAACAAGGGGCGTAACACACTTAGTCGTGGCAGTCGATTACTTCACCAAATGGGTATAAGCCCGACCTCTTTCTAGCCTGACCTCGAGAAAGATTGAAGACGTTGTTTTCAGTTCGGTCATATGCAGATATGGGATCCCAAACCAAGTTGTCGCCGACAACGAACCTCAGTTCAACTGCACCTCATTCAAAGACTTCTGTTCCAGCTATTGGATTAAATTGGTGTTCACCTTTGTTTATCATCCTGAGGCAAACGGAATGGTTGAGTCTGTCAATAAGGCCATCCTAGAAGGAATTAAGCCCAGGCTAGATCAAGTCAAAGCCAAGTGGGCGGACGAGCTCAACAATGTTCTGTGAGCCTACCGGACTACAAGTCGGACAGCCACAGGTACGTAACTTAGCTACCTTTTCACTATGATGTCATTACTCGCTATATAAAATGAACCTTAAAATCATAACTCCTTCTCATTAGGCGAAACGCCCTACTGCTTGGCTTTTGGGACCGAGGCAGTCATCCCTGTCGAAATGGGTGTCCCAAGCCTAAGAGTGACCCATTTCAACGCAACTCGAAATGAGCAGTTACTCAGAGAAAACCTCGATGTTTTGGACGAAGTCCGCGAGGAAGCTCGACTTCGGACATTAGCATACAAACAAAAGCTGGCCAACTCATACAATAGACGAGTCCGACCTCAAACCTTTAGAGTTGGTGACCTCGTCCTTAGAAAGGCAGGACTCACCAGCTTCGAAACTCACTTCGGCAAACTCGCGCCCAACTGGGAAGGCCCATATGTAGTAGCCGAAGTCCCATACCCTGGCGCTTACATACTTGTCGACGCCGGGGGTAAAAGAATACTTAGGGTTTGGAATGTAAATAATTTAAAGAAGTTTTATTCGTAATAAAGCTTCATTTTATCCAAATTCTTATCAACTGAGCTCGAGCTCTCATGTCGACTTCTACCTCGTCTTTAAAGTTACATATCTGATCTCTTCCTATCCGAGGTCAAATAGTTAGTATTTTTTATTTGCTATAATATTTTTTAAGTTTGTTACAATTTTTCAATAAACAATATCACAATAAACACCATACATGTCCAAAATTTCAATTCATTCATTTCAATTGAAATACAAATTGTTCTTTACATATACTAAAAATTGCAAAAATTATAAAGGGTGAGCTGGCTGAGCTCACTCAATGATCTGGAGCTCATTCCGTATGTTGTTCGCAACCTCTGTTCTCGGTGCCACTTCGGCCTCCTCTTCGTCCACGGCGACGAACTCGAAGTCCAACGTTGTTGGGAGGATAGTTTTCCCAGCCTCGTCCCGTTCCCAAGTCAGTTTAACCTCAGGGCGGAACTCCGCTATCTTGCTATCCTCGTTCTCCTCTACCCCTGCCTCCTTAGGTCCAAAAGTGATGCTTGTCACGTCCACCTCTGGATTCTGCGCCTTCACCTTCTTACGGTAGTCAGCGAAGGCCATTACCAGCATTGGCAAGCGGGAGAGGTCCACCACCTCGGCGAACGTGGTAGACTTGACGAAGTCTGCAACGTGCTCCTCCACAGAATTGTGGACCGCTAGCTCAACTGCCTTTTTCACTTCGGCCAGCTCACCCTCCCTCCTTGCAAGTGCCTCATTGCACTTCTTCCTCTTCTACTCTTCCAGCTCAGCAACCTTCCTAGAACTGGCCAACTCCTCCCTAACCTTCTCCAGCTCCGAGGTCAGTTCACTGAAGTTCTTCTCCGCCTCCTCTTTCTGGCGGTTGAGTTCTTCATTCTTTTTTACCAAGGCAATCCACTCTTAGAGGCAATCGAAGAACTCAACCGCCATTGCATTCACCAAATTTGCAGTCTGCATAGAGGCCGAACTCAGTAAAAAAAAAAAAAAAACAAAAACAACTAACTAAAAACTAAAAACTAAGGTAGGAGCTTACCTCCAAGGCCTACCGAACTACCCCAGACCCTCCATTGGCAGCTACCTCATCCTTCGCCCTCTACAGGTCCACCTTGGGGAAGTGGGCGCCAATGAAGCGCTTTGCAGTCGTCCTCCCCGAATCGTAGAAGCTGGCCATTTGCCTGGGGTAAGGAACGGAGCTTTTCCCCTTCCCAGGCACCACCACCTCAGTTTCCCGAATTGCCGGGTCGATCTCCACTGGGGCTGGCCGAGGTACGAACTTGACCGGGGCCTCAATCTGCAGAGGCTGCACCTCCTCCACCCTTGGCCTCTTCCGGGCGACAACCTCCTCAGTTACACCCCTCCTGGGCTCAGAGCTGGGCCCCACCTCAACTCGAGGACTTGATGCCTCACCCCCAACTCGCTCCTCTTGAGCACCCGGGGCTAATGCCCTTGACCTCTTCTCCGGAAGTCGTACTGGTTTGTCCCCAGCTCTCAAACGATTCATCTCTTCTGCAAAACCAAACGAAGTTAAAAATTGCAATCAGACTCCTACTCTACAAAGAACTTTACTTCAATTAACACGGACCTCTGCTCAACAAGCTCCTCCCATAGATTCTAGATGACTCCACCACCTCTGGATTGGTGAGGTACATTATGTTTGCCAGCTCCCCCCCACCCCTCTCCAACCTCTTCACCTCGTCCTTCTCCACCTCCCCCAGTCGGTATTGGTTCGGATTTCTTCTCTTCCCCTTCTACCTACTCAGCTCTTCTACCTCACCATCCCCCCTCCCCCACTCCGTGTCATCCACAAAGAAAAACTTCTCCTTCCACCCCTTAATGGAGGAAGGACCTGCAGTGAACAGGTTCCTACTCCTTCATCTAATTACCCGAGGTGTAAAGTAAAACCACCCCTTCTCTTTCCCACTACCCCCCTTAATTATAAAGAAATATTTAAATAGATCTATAGTTGGAATTCGCACCCCCCGAAGTTGGCAGTACATTAAAAATCCCATTACCAACCGAACTCCATTGGGGACGAGCTGCATCAACCCTAACCCGTATTCCTTTAGCAGCGCTACCAGCAACTCCGGAATTGGAAACCGGAGCCCAGCTGCCAGGTAGTGCGTGTACAATGGCATCCAATGGTCTTTTGGAGTTGAACACGCTCGCTCTTCACCTTCTGCTGGCCTTACCAGCACATGGGGTGGGATACTATAGTTCTCCACTAAGTGCCCCAGCTCTCCCCTGCACCTCCAGCTCGACTCATACCCCACCACCTCCCTCACCACCTCGTCACTCTCGTCATAACACTTTCCTTGATTGTCACCAACCTCTAAAATGTTGGTTGGGACAAGGCTACCCTCTTGACCCCCATTTCCCTCACTAACTGAGGTCCTACCCCCACTCCCCCTACTCGAGCTCGAAGTAGAGATCGAGCTCGAAGTAGAGATCGAGCTCGAAGTCACGTCCCTCACCCCTTCTTCCCCTTCAACACTTAGTGTTTCTTCAGACGACATCTCTGCTATCAGTCTTCACTACAAGAAGTACGCCACCAACAGTAATCAGAATCACCTACAACCTCTATTTTTTACTTCCCCCCCTTCCTATTGATTGCCTAACCCCCCTACCTAGGCTCATAAAATGAAACAAGATTACTCTTAACCGAGGTAGAACTCAGAGTTACCTGGCTTTCTGCGACGAAGTCTAACACCTGTACAAATGCCGGCAACTACCACAATCTCTGCAACCGTCATGTTGGGAGACGAAGTGCTCTCGCGATTTCAGTAGGGTTTCGCTACAAACTCAACGAGGTAAAATTATGAATGACTTAAGGTTGGCTATTTATACTTAGCCTCTCCCCCGTTTTCACGGCCACGATCGCCCATATTCAACGGCCACGATAGCGACCTTTCGAATTTGGCAGTTATTCCTGACATCATTTATTATAGCACGGCACGCGAGGACAACTGTCAATCCTGATTAAATCATTTTATTACATTTCATTTTATTTTATCTCCGATTCACTTCAACCTCCTTCAAAAAGAATTGCACAATTGCATATTTCTCGAACAATTTCCACTCATACTACTTTTTACTTCGGCTCCGGCCGTATCCCATGACCACGTGTCATGCTATTTTTTACTTCGGCTTCGGCCATATCCCATGACCACGTGTCATGCTATTTTTTACTTCGGCTTCGGCCATATCCCATGACCACGTGTCATGCTATTTTTTACTTCGGCTCTGGCCGTATCACATGACCACGTGTCATCCTACTTTTTACTTCTGCTCCGGCTATATCCCATGACCATGTGTCATGTTATTTTTTACTTCTGCTCCGGCCGTATCCCATGACCACGTGTCATCCTACTTCTTACTTCAGCTCCAACCACACCCCTTAACTCCATGCCATGATATCCACCCCTCAACCAAACACCAACACAACCTCCCGCATCATCCACAAGTGAATGACTTCGTTGGGGGGAATAGTGTAGTGGGAGTAGACAGAGGTCATGAGATATCAGAGGCACGTAGGATGTCAGAGGTCACGAGATGAGGCATGTTGTCAGTCCGAAGTTGTGTACTCCATGGCTGCCTGAGATGTGCAACCTCTGACATCCGGAGCAGCCCCCGACATCTAACTACCTCGATTCGATTGAAGGACAGCGAGCTCAGTCTGATTCGAGTTCGTCCCCTTTGCTCTTGCTCCGCATTAGTTCTGTACACATGCAAACCCCTCATGAGAAGTACCTGCGGTGTTTGACACGCGTCGCCCAGGTTTCTCGGAGGGATCAACACATGGACATCCCCTGAAGAGCTATAAATACCCCTCAGGGTCCACCTCTGAAAGGTATGGGAAATCAACCTCAAACTCAGCTTTTACTCTTGATTCATAACTAGTAGCTCTGACTATTGTTGACTTAAGTATCAAAGTGTCTACCCCGAGAATCAACCTCAGGGCCTTGCAGGATAGCCGAAGTGAAGATTCGAGATTCAAAGTATCTCCCAGTTCTCTGCAACTACAGGTGGAATGAAGAGTAATATTAAACTAGAAGACAAAGATACAAAATAAACTAGTCTCTGCGATACATAGTTCCCAACATATCAGCGTAGAGATACATAAAAAGGGTTGAGGGACAACCCTCTAAAATGACAAAATCTTCCTGCTGGGAATGAGCCATAGCAGCAAGACGATCAGCACACATATTGCCCTCTCTGTAAACATGCTGCAAGTGGACGTGCGGAAGATCCACCACAAGGGCCCTACAATCAGAAATGAGAGAACATAGAGGGTAATAATTGAGTTCCTTTTTTATGGAGGAAAAAAAGGTGGGTAATTAAAGACAAAATGACTTAAAATTTTTTTAAAAAAAATTGACATACTTATACAGTTTTTTATTTAGGAAATGATTTTTGTATAATTTTTTTATAATTTAATATATTATTTAAATAATAAAAACAGGAACATCATTTGGGTCTTGACTATGGTTTGGTCACTTTGGTGATGTTCAGATATGGATGGGTAGGATTGGGTGGGGAACGGGTGACGTGGTCGGGCAAGCGTTTGATGTCGAGGAGACGCAATTTCCACGTGGTGGATGCCCTAAACAAGGGCAGGGACAGGACAGAACTGGGGCTTGGAGAGGTCCGCCGCTCGGCCGAAAGTGGCTGAATGGGGCCTTATGCTGTCAGTCGAAGACAATGCGCATAAATTTAAAAAAGCTGTATGTTTTTTTGTTTTTATCCATATTGCGAGTTAGAATCCGTCTAAACGAAAGGAATGTATTTTAAGGTGATTAAAGATCATTTGATTTAAAAATTAAATGTAAAAAAGGTTATATATTTTATTATTTAAATTATTTAAATTATGTTAAATAATAAAATATAAATTATTAGTTGAAAAAAATTATGAATTTTTTATTTTATAATTGTAGTTATATAATTTAATATAATTTAAATTATATAATATTTTTTAATAAATTTGGATTTTTAAAAAAAAGAAGTCGAAGAAGAAATATTTGAGTTGGGGAAAAGAAGTGAATTTGAAAAAAAGTGGGTAAATTAAGGTAAAGAATGGAGTACATACATATTATGGAAATACACATTACAAATTACTGCATTCCAATAAGTATAAGAAACTAAAGGAGTGAAAGTGAACTCATGGGATTCGAATTTTGTGACGTTTATATTACAAGACACTAGCAATTTTACTGTACTACATAACTCATTGTCCTTACCTCTTGAGTTTTAGTTTTACTCGGGCAAAATTCAATCACAACTAAGAATTTAGGGACCCATCATATAATATCATTTTTTTAAAGAAAATTATTGATCGTCATATTCAATGATATTGGATATGTAAATTAAATACTAGAAGATGGAGAGATTTTTAGGATTTTTTTTTTTTTAATGTAAAGGAATAACAATGATCTCTTTTGAAAAGTTTTAAGGATTTTTTTAATGGCATTAAAAAACAAAAAACAAAAAACAAACCGCACCCACTGCCTCTACCTACACAGTTACACCATTATGGCTTCGTTTTGTTAGCGCTTTCAAACATACTTTTTCCCAAAAGCATGTTATTTTATTGAAAAATATAGTTTATAATTTTTAATTAATTTTTATATAAATTTATTTATTTTAATTACAATAATATTATATATTTAAGATAGTAAAAAAAATAAACCAACTGATACCATATCGCAACACAACAGTCAAAAACCGAAGTTTGGTATGTAATCAATCAATTCACCATTCCTTCTAATTTTTTTTTTTTAAGCAATTTATAATTATTTATAGAGTTAATTAAGAAAAAAAAAGAATTTTGTGAATTTTAAATGTACAATCCATTAAAAATAAATAGTTATAACTCAAAATCCAATGCTACTAAACCAGGCGGATCGTTCATTCCTTCTAGCTTTCTTAATGCCGGGCTACATAAAGTGTACCCACTAATTCTATCTCCTCAAAATAGTCCAAATTCATGTTTTCAAGAAGAAAACAACCACAAAAAATAAAAGAAAAAGTCATTTAAAGAAATGAAAATTTCAAGAAAAATTAAGGGTATGGCAGAGGGTGAGATGCTATTTGTATGCATGTGAAATATTAGGTGTCCTATAAGGATAGGGGACGTGACACATTAACTTTCTAATCTTTGACTTTTACTACTCCTACATACATCAAAGATAACAGTAATAAAGTTGATTTCTTAGCAATTATTTTCATTAGCCAAGGAGCTTTCCAGGCTGGTTTGGTGGTGCCATTGCTTCAGTGGGTTCCACCAAAGCAAGCAATCCCTTCTCAATAATTCATTTTCAATAGCCTAAATGGCATTTTCTGGGTTAGGCAGTAGTGTCTAAAACGTGCACTCAAAATGTTTGTCCCTTCAATTCTCTCTTGATACATAGCTCAATGGCTGAGTTTGAATCCTTTAAAACCTTTTGGATAAAGAAATTAGTGCATCCTTTTTTATTGATCTTTACTTTTACTTTTGATCATGACGCTAAATGCCAATCTTAACATGTTATAACAGTACAAAAAAGAACTTATGGTTAATTGATGATACAGTTAACAATAGAATCAAATTTTATTTGACAGTATTTTTAATAAATCTTTTTTTATTAATTCATTAAGAGTATTTAAAAATTTTCAATATTATTTCTTATAGTTTAATTGTTATGTCATAATTTTCCACAACCCGTATTAAATTTACTACTATAATACTAGCTAGTTCTTTAAACCAATGCTCTTATGAAATTTTCAAGGAGTCCACAATAAATCAACCAATCCAAAACACTACTGGCAAAGGTGAAATGAAAATGCAAAGATATGGAAAATTTTTACCACAACCCAAAAAGAATAGGAGTCTTACAATTCACTCATCCTTGATCCCTTTCACTTTCTGGCCGTCCAAAAGGAACAGCTTCAAAACTTCATATGATACCCATCTTTTTTCTAACCACTTTCTACACTAAATTTGATTTGCTGGTATATAGTTGATCATTAAATGTCATTTTCCATCTTTCGTGTTCCAAAATCAATCATAATATGTCTGATTTTAAGGGTAAGACGTCGCTATGTATGAATGATTAATTAAAAAATGACATCTCACAAACACAATCAACAATTGTCTCATTCTGAGTCCTGATCATCTTGAGGCCACATCATTTTCATTTCGTTAGGCATGACTTCTGTTTAATCTACAATTATATGACATTTTATTACCCAAAATGGAAAAAAATTATCATATGGCATTTTATTGAGTTTTATAAATCTAGAAGGTAGTTTAATTGATTAAGAGTATCAGATTTTAAATTAAAAATATCGAGTTTAAATCTTGAGAGGTGGGGTGTGATTTGAAAAATGAAAGGCTTATCTCTTTTTATATGGTGAATCACAAAATATAAAAAAAAAAAAATTAAGTTTCACATTTTCGGTAAGATGAAAGGTATAAGTGTAATTAAGCAAAGTTACTGTAGTGTCAAACTCAAGTTGATCAATCAATTTAAGTTTCATATAGAGGCAAAGCTAATAATATGCTTTTACATAACTTAATTACAAATCCTAAATTACGTCGTTGATTTTTTTGAATAATTAGAAAAAGGTTCATGATATATTGAAATACTGCATACATATTGCGAGAAATGCATTAAATATATAAGAAATTTTTATTTATATATGGATATGGGTATCTCTTACATTTAATTTATAATACAATTTTCTTTATTTTCAAAAAATTAAAAAAAATTAAGTTTCATATATCTTAGACTCGATCGAGTTCAACTCAATTAACTTTATGTATAATTTTGAAATGAGTTTGAGTTTGTGTTGCACGTACGGTTGGAGTTGTTCTATTACCCGACTGATAACACATTATATCTCCCTTAGAAGGTGTAAATGAGCATATTGGATTACTGATGAAGATATGTCAGGTGGATGCAGCAGCAATTATGATACAATGGTTCTGGTTGTATCTTGAGAGTCTCAGAATTCAGATGTGTATAACATGTTGAAATTGCTTGAAATAAATTGCAACTAATCATCATAGAAACGTGACAAAGAGAAGCAGTTATCTGATGAGATCACATTTGTCCGAACTGGCACGTGCTGGAAAGAACAAAACAACCTGTAACCCATACAAGCAATGTGTCTCCTTTTTTTTTTTAATGATAATTTACATCAAGATATTTTAAAATTAATTTTTGAGTATTTTAAAATTATTTTTTTAAATGATCTTAAAAATAAACTTTTCATATAAAATTAATTTTCTTAAATATTAGTTAAAAGTTTGCCATACAAGCAATGCTCCCTGCAAGAATTCCATTTCCAGCCAACAATGTTAATACTATGTAAGATAAGTGGTAGTGCTCTTTTGCAATTTTCTTACAATATAATTTTTCTCTATCCGCAAGATAGACACAGATCTTTATGTATCATTGGCTCATATGGTATATTAAGTTATTTAAAATTTAAAGTCATTAAAATCTTAATTTGTTGGGCCAAAAAATTCCCCACTCCAATCTCTTTCATTTTTATCAGATCAAACAAATTTTTAGATGTGAACTAATCACAGATTATAAAAATAAAAATGTAAAACATGGTATTAAAAAGGGGTAATATTGGTTATAGTCACTGCAACTTTTGTTAAGACCACAAAAAAAATTTTATTTCAATTTGATTGTTAAAAATAATTTATAATTAATAAAATAATTAATATTTATTATTTAATAAATTATAATTAATTTATAAATAAATATTTTTAAATATTATAATTAATTGTTCTAAAGAATTAAAAATTAATACAATTATCATTAAATTAATAACCTTATTAAAAATTACAGTGGCAGTAATCTCAGAATAAAAAACTAGTGCAGGATGAAAATGTGTTACTAAGAAGGATAAGTACTTCCTATATTAGAAATATCAAGAGCCCAAAGAGCCGCCCAAAAAGGTAGGGCTTTGTCTAATGGTAATATGGTATGCTGCGCTAAAGTAGGCCCAAGATGAAGATTCTAAAAATGCAATTATGAGGAGATGATTTGGGCTTTTGTAGTTACTAGAGTGGGGTTCAAGATTCTAATGTCTTCGGGTTTTTTGGGCTCCCCTAATATGCATTTGCTGATTTTTTTTTTGGGTCCAAAAATATATGAGGGTGTTAAGTTGTTCTGATGTTGAAAAAGCACGTTCTGTGTGTCGACAGAGACGTTGGCGCAACACGAGGCGTGGATTGTGCCTGCAATCTCTCATTCCTTGCATAATTGAGATTTTCCATCCACTCAACCTACCATTATAATCAATAATCATACTTTTAAAGTCTACTACAACAATAACTTAACACATTATCATAACTAATTCACTAGTAACAAACAGTAATATTATAGTTATAATGTTACGTAAGATTGTTATTATTTAATAAAATATAACGTGATATTAAATAAATATATATGTACAATATCATGAGTGAATTTTTAAGTGAAAAAATTAAATATATAATAATATATTATGTTGTATATTTATAATGCTACGTGATATTATAATTAGAACATTTTCAAATAACAAATCTCAATTTGTAAATTAAATTCAACATAAATACATCATGCACCATAACAGACACAAAAATATCCCTAACTATACAAATAATAATAATAATAATAATAATAATAAACACACATTACCACGAAGTATTAGATGAAAATACTTGTGATTTGCTCCATCCCTTGGCCAATAAACATAAAATAAGCATGGTTAATTTAGTATATGTTAATTTAAAATTTTTAATTTTTAATTAATATTTAAAATTTTTAATTTTTAATTAATATTAAAAATTCAAAAATTTATATTATTAAATCACTAAAAAAAAAAAGAAAGTGAAAGTGAATTATTTTGCATACTCATTTAAAAGGTGACACCAAAAACAAATCCTATTCCATAAAATAAGTACTTCTACAGCACTGACAGTACCCAAAGTGGACCCAATTTCCCAACGGATCCAAAACGACATCCAAAATTCAAATCCAAGAACCCGGAAAAGGCAAGCCAACGGCACTTTCTTGAAAACCTTTCCCAACGCAAAAACACCCTTTTTAACTTATTTTATTATTTACAATGATAATTTTTTTATATTATTTTTGATATAATTTTTACTTATTATTAAATAAATATATATTTAATATTATATATATTATATAAATTAAAAAAATAAATCATTTAAATGACATATCAAATTATATAAAAAAATAATACAAAAATATTGTAACAAAATTATTTCACAAAACAAAAGGAAAAAAACGAATTTAAACCTCACAAACCCAAAAAATCCTTCTTTCCCAGAACGTTTCGTCGACGGCAAAAGTGCCATTAGATATTTTCAGTTTTTGCTGACAGAAAAATTTTTTCCCAACTAAAACAGAACATGTTTCCATAATAACACACTACTACTAGCTGTACACGCTCTCTGCTCTGTACTCGGCAATTACCCCTTTGGATTCTCTACTAATTCTCCTTCCTTACTTCCCCAATTCAATAAGAAACGAAACCCAGAAACTTTGGCCTTCAGGGTTTTCAGTATGATTTCAAGTTTCAAGCTTTTGATCCTGTTTTGTGCGGTTATACCCTTTTCTGTGTCCCAAACCGATGTTGCACCGCCTCCGGCGGCGGATTCCTGTAATGGGGTGTTTGTTTCTTATGTTTATGGTACTGGATCTAAGTTGAAGCCTACTAATAAGACCCACCAGGCGTACAGGTTTGAATCAACGTTGACGGTGTTGAACAACGGGGACAGGGTGCTAAAGTCGTGGAGGGTTTTTGTGGGTTTCAAGCATGATGAGTTGTTGGTGTCGGCGTCGAATGCGGTTCTGGTTGATGGGAGTAGTTTCCCGGCGAGTGTTGGGAACGGGACTACTTTTGCTGGATATCCGATGAGCGATCTGAAAACGGCGATTGAGACGGCCGGGGATGTGACCCAGATGCAGGTGCAGGTTAAGCTTGTGGGGACACAGTTCGGTGAGGCGCCTCCTGCTGTGCCGTTGCCGGATAACATTTCTCTCGTTAACGATGGTTTTGAGTGTCCTGCGGCTTCTCTTCAAGGTAATTCATCTTGCTCTCTGACTTGTTGTCTATGTGATCCCTGTATCTCGATGCTTTGATTTTGAATTTGGGATTTAAGTGGATTTTTTATTAGAGTGGTTTGGTGGTATTGTCTCAGAATGAGTTTTATTTAGATGGATTTTGACCGCTTCGTTTTTGTGGGTTTGGTTAGATTTCTATATATCTGTCTTGATTTGATAGGAGATTTACATGATAATCCAATTTGAGAGGTCTTAGGGTGTTTTCTTTTTTTCTGGGTAATAAGATCAACTAATGTCATACAGAAAGTTTAACTTTGTAGTATCTCTTAGGTACAAGTTGAGTAATTGTCTAATTGATGGTTTCTGTTTTAGTGGTTTCACGTTTTTTTTTTGGTTCATCTTGTATTATTGGCCTTTTGGTTGCACTAGTCTTCCTATTTTCATTTGGAAAGGAAAAATTGATAATCATCTTGTATTATCAGACAGCAGGGATAGGTGAAACTTGGGAAAGTGCAATATTTGACCAGATTTAAGTGGGGAAGAATGGCTTCTAAATCAAAAGAACTCTCATCAAAATGAATAAGCCTTACATCTAGTAAACATTATGATGCTGCTCCTCTGCAAAGAAAAAGAGATTTGATCCTATTTTGGTTTTTTAACTAGCCCTATTGTGTTTATCCTCAGGGAATGATAGTGAATAATCTTCAAAATTTATGGGGATTAGTTCCGTTGCTTTGTCATACAAGTCAGACACAGTATCTAAATGTTGTTTTGAATTTGTTCTGTATGGTTTAGGCACAAATGAGATGCAAGTATGCTGCCCCATAAACCCCAATTTCAAGTCAAATCTTACAGGAGCTGATGAGTTCCTGCCCCGGCAAAGTGGTGATCTTACAATCATGTATGATGTGATCAGAACATATGATTCGAACTACTGGGCACAGGTTACAATTGCAAACCATAACCCACTTGGGCGTCTTGATAATTGGAAGTTGAGCTTTGATTGGATGAATGATGAATTTATCTATGCCATGAAAGGGGCTTATCCATACATGGTTGATGCATCTGACTGCATATTTGGTCCCCAAGGAACATACTATAAGGATCTGGACTTTGCTAATGTTTTGAATTGTGAAAGAAGGCCAACTATTATTGACCTCCCTCCAACAAAGTTCAATGATACAACTCTCGGACAGATCCCTTCATGTTGCCGAAATGGTACCATCTTGCCGCCAACCATGGACCCAAGCAAGTCAACTTCATCATTTCAGATGCAGGTCTTTAAAATGCCTCCAGATCTTAATCGATCAGAGCTCTCTCCACCTCAAAACTGGAATATCAATGGCACCCTGAACCCTAATTATAAATGTGGTCCTCCTGTCCGGGTTAGCCCTAGCCAGTTTCCTGATCCAAGTGGCTTGCCATCAAATAGAACTGCATTTGCTAGCTGGCAGGTGGTTTGCAATATTACACAGCCCAAGGGGGTGAGCCCTAGATGCTGTGTATCATTTTCTGCATACTACAATGCTTCAGTTATTCCATGCAGAACTTGTGCATGTGGGTGCCCCAGCAGCACGTCTCGTACTTGTAGTGAAACTGCTTCAGCCATGCTTCTTCCACCCGAGGCACTTCTTGTCCCATTTGAGAACCGCACTGTGATGGCCAGAGCTTGGGCTGATCTTAAACACTGGTCGGTGCCTGATCCAATGCCTTGTGGTGATAATTGTGGGGTCAGTATCAACTGGCATGTTTATACAGACTATACTCGTGGATGGAGTGCAAGAATCACTCTTTTCAACTGGGATGAAACTGCTTTTTCTGATTGGTTTGCTGCAGTAGAAATGGATAAAGCAGCCGCTGGTTTTGAGAAAACTTATTCATTCAATGGAAGCCTCATGACTGATGTTAATAATACCATATTCATGCAAGGCCTTCCGGGATTGAACTATCTTGTGGCAGAAACAGATGGAGCTAATCCATCTAAGGATCCTCGGGTGCCTGGAAAACAACAGACGGTGATCTCATTTACCAAGAAAACTACCCCTGGAATTAAAGTGGCAGAAGGTGATGGGTTCCCAACGAAAGTATTCTTCAATGGAGAGGAGTGCGCACTTCCTTCAATGTTTCCAAAAAGCAGTGGTAATAGAAAGGCATCCAGTACCATACTTTCAGTCTTTTTAGCTGTTATGGCATTCATATTGATGCAGCTATAGTTGGGGCAAGGCACTGCTTGGGTTCTCTGGTCTTCCCAAAGTAGTATTTTTTTAGGTGTCTGCAGACAGCTGCACCAACCTACTGCTCGGTTTTGTAGCTGATGCTGATTAGTTCATTCTTTCAGTGGTTTATTTTTTCACTTGATCAGCACTGTGGTTTGTCATTACCAGACACCCACACCTTGATTCTTATATAGAGGATGCTATGGATTTTTTAGTCATGACTAGGCTTCTTGTTGCTGATGTCATCCAGAAATGCTTATAGATACATAAATGTCATGGTATTCACTATTCAGACGTTGTATAAAACTATTGCTGGATGAACATAATTTGTGGACAGTGTGAAGGTTGCCTAAAGGAGTTCCAATTTGCTGACCCAAAAGCCTTTTGGAAGATGTCCTTTCTGCAGAACCATAAAAAACGAGCGGTTGTTTTTAATACTGATCTTTCAAGTTACTGTAGACGGTATCTCTCTCTCTCTCTCTCTTCTCTC